AGATCTGGGTGCTTATGATAATGTTTACTACATATTAATAAATGTACCCAGCTGCCATCCATGTACTCAAATTTTCCTCTAATTTTGTTCTTCCAGCGTCTAGTGCTGTGAGTTCCCAATGCTGTATGCTGAAATCAGGCCATCTATCTGGCTGGTGATGGTTTTGCCTACCTGAGTGGGTCTCCCTCTCTCTCTTTGCAGTTTTTCCGCTGGAAAAACTGGTAAGAATTATAGCTTTAAGATGAACATTCTCATGAACCTAAACCATTGTTTTGCTTATTGTCAGACTTACATCAAAAGCCTGAATTCTTTTTAACTTAAATTATAGACAAGGACAACATTGGTACAGATCGTGGTAAAGCTGACCTGTAAAGTACAGGAATAAGAGCCAAGATCTGCTCTTTTATGCAGCTAACACATGACTGTGTTCTGGACTTCAACCCTATTATTATACACTACCTTATTGTGCAAAATATAAAGACTACATTCTGTGGTGTACAGAAAAAAAGAATAGGCAGCCAGTTTCTTCACTTTACAGTCTGCCTGCCTTCAAGGCCATAAGTGCCCCCCTTTGGTGGGAGTCTTCTGAGGCCCCTCTCTCCCACAGTACACCTGGTTTCTTCTCACCTATGGCTCAGGTGCATTGACTTGAGCCTCCTCACTGGTTTGTGAAACACCTGAGTGTGTCACGTGTCAAAGGATGGCCCTGGTCTTGGTAACTGCCAGATAGCAGAGTGTCTAAAGTGAATCTTTCTTTAGATAGGGCATTAACTAGGCTCTGAATTGCCTTATATTCCTCAGGAGGTATTTGCAGACTTACTAAGTTATGAGAACTCCAAATGTTGAATGCTCAAAACAAATTCAGAGGTTTATATTTAACTATCTCACTATTTTCTGTTTTGTTTTCTGTGAGCTCCACACTCAGACTTACTTTGCATTCTTCCCAATATGACATTCACATTGTGACTTTTTTCAGAAATTTCTTGCAGTTTGCTTTCTCTGTGATTTCTTTCTTTCTTTCTTTTTTGTTTTTATTAACAAAGGTCTCTTTGAGGGCAGCTGGGTTTCTTCTGTTCAAAAAATGAGAAATTTGTGCTTGTCATTTTGGCTGAGGCAGGTCCTCTCTCCATTCTCTCACTCCTCAGAGCTGAATCTGCCTTCCAGATCATCTGGCAGATGGAAGGAGCTGCTGTCCAGTCTCTTGTTCCCCTAAGCTGTGCTCAGCCTGGAAGGTGTGAGCTGGATGAGGTACAGCTGGGTGGGGACACTGGTAGATCTTTTCTGATAGCTTGTTTTCACATGTTCACAGTCTCAAGGATATATTTTCTAATAAAATATTACTACAGAAGGAGCTTTATACCTTTCTATATAGCATCCACAGACAAATATAGGACCAAGCTATGTGTAGTGAATTTTGCTAATATAGCTGTGTGATCCACAAAATTTTGAGATGGCCGGAGCTTTGACCTTATATTCTATCATATTTCTGATCCTTGACGGGAACTAATAACTTAACTGGGTGTTCCTGTGTGGAGCACTTTCCTGTATTAATGCTGTGCAGAAAGGAGATTGAACATGGGCTCCAAAAAGACTGCCAGTGTTTGGTTAAGAACTTAGGGCACCCTCTGACATTCTGAATGTTCAGTAAACTTAGAACCTCTGCACATATCTCCTACCTCAATCCTTCATGCTTTAGGACTTCCTTCTCTTAAAGAGTGAGCAATATTTCTAAGAATGTAGTTGTATCCCTCAATTTATGGAAGATTCATACATGCTACTTGACCCAGTTGTTCACCAAACTTCATTAATGCAAACAGAATTAATTCAAAACTTGAGTTTTACAAAAGCAACATAAGATGACTTTATAATTTACATTTTATTTTTTCATGTAATTCTTAAAAATACATTTTAGATATTGTTATGTACCTATCTAAAGTCATGCCTTTAAAATATTATAAGGATATATATTAAAATATCCATAGGATAGATGTGCAGGAAATAAGTGTGTGCCGTGTATAAAAATATGAAAGACAAAGCAGAGAGCACTGAGGTCTCAGAAACTCTCATAGGTCGGCGACATCTAATAGTCAGATACACATTTTTCCAGGTTCCCCCTGAAGAAATGACAAGACCAAGCAGTAATTTGTTGATTGTGTGAATGGAGAAATTTATGTTACTTGCCTTAACCAATACTTTAGCAAAAGATGCACATTTTCTAGTTTTACTATGATATTTCTATTTAAAAAATCAAAATTTCCATAGAATTGAGTCCACGTACTTCTTTACCTCTGATTTTTAGATTGTGATCACACAGTTCAGGTTCTCTCAGTCACTTATATATCATATGTTCTATGTAGCTATGAATGTAGTCTTACTCTGTGATGTTGAAATGTCTGTGACCATATGTGTCTATAGCCATGTCCCCATGTTACAGCCTTAACATTACAGCTTTATAATGGCTGATGTAAAGCAAAGACCTGCATCAAACTGCAAGATACACTGAAAAGTTTATTGTCACCAAGTTCTGTACTACAAACTTTACCCGTGAGCCCCATAACTCCTCAGAAATATCCTTCCTTGCTTGTGGAAAGCATACATGTGTGGAGTCCTTGTGAACCACCTTCAGGCTGAGAATATTTGCCAGTCATTTAATTACAAACATAGAAGGACTAATTTAGAATTTACCTAAATCATGGGTACATTTAAGATTCTCTTTCCACGTTATTATGATAGAGTGAAAAGAAATTTGGAATTCAGGGTCCTAATAATAAAGAACTTCTCTGTCATTACTGATTTGGGTCACCTGGCATGAGTTTCAAGAATATACTATAAAATGTAGAACTTATATACTATAAAATGTAGAGCTTTATGCATGAGGAACTACATAATAATGATAATAGTACCTGACATTTTCTTCCTGTTAGGCTCTCTTCGGGTTTGGTACATTGTTACATATTGTGTATCCAGGAAATAAAGAATTTGTTTGTCCCCATTTTACAGAATATGTCATTGAGTTAGATGTGTGATTTGAGTTTTCAAATCCTAAATTTGATAAATGTCAGTTACAGATGTAAGTCAAATCCATTTGACTTCAGAACACACTGAGAAACATTTGCTCTTATGACTATTTGGTCCTGCAATAAACCAGAAGAAGGATGTCACTAACATTATATAACTGTTATGCCTATCCCCTGGACAGTTACTGCTTGAGAGAATCTTCATTTCAGATGTAGGCAAATATCCTGTCCCAATTTCCAAAAACGAAGTACAGCTCTTACTATGTAGCCAGCATTTTCTCTACTTTCCATAGATACAAAGGCAAATGGGACATGGTGCCTCATGATGAAAACTGAAAATTGATTTATTTCACTTATGAGTATGGTCTCTAGTTGTGACCATTTAAATATAAAGGCCTCGAGTTTATCTTTCTTTACAGCTGAGTAATATTCCATTATATAAAAGTACCATAATTTTCTTATCCAATCCTCGGTGGATGGACATTTGGGTTGCTTCCACATTTTAGCAATTACAAATTGTGCTGCTATGAACATAGGTGCACATATATCACTGTGATATGATGTTTTTAGATCTTCTGGGAAAATACCCAGCAGGGGGATAGCTGGGTTGAATGGGACCTCTAAACCTAGTTTTCGGAGGAATCTCCAAACTGATTTCCACAGTGGTTTCACCAGTCTGCATTCCCACCAGCAGTGGAGAAGGGTTCCTATTTCTCCACAGCCTCGCCAGCATTTGTTATTGGTTGATTTCTTAATGCTAGCCATTCTTACTGGGGTAAGGTGGAATCTTAGTGTTGTTTTAATTTGCATTTCTCGAACGACTAATGATGTTGAACATTTTCTCATATATTTATTTGCCGTTTGTATCTCCTTGTCTGAGAAATGTGTGTTCATCTCCACTGCCCATTTTTGGATTGGGTCTTTGAATTTGGAGGGGCTGAAATTTTTTAATTCTTTATATGTTCTAGATAGAAGCCCTTTGTCTGAGGGACAATCAGCTAAAATTTTTTCCAAGTTTGTTGGTTTTCTTTTGACTCTGCTGGTGATTTCTTTAGATGTGCAAGCACCGCATTGTGTCACTAGTGTAAAACTTGAAAGAGTTAAGTTAAACTCGGAGGTATGATAGACACTGTGAAATGATAGGAAACCACCGAAGAGTAAAGGGCTTCTGGGATGTGGGAAAAGAGAAGGGAAAGAAGGAGAAATTTTGTATGGATGTATATACAGGATAGATAACATGGTTGTTCTTCTACCTGCTGTTTCTATGCTGAAAGAAACTGTCAATGAGTCTTTGGTTGACCAGTATTGCATGTCTATATCTGTTTTCATGAGAAGCCACTTTGAAGATATCAATATGTAATACAACCACCATTGTTAATTCCCTACCACTTTGTTTGTAACTCTGTATTGTCTGTATTGTGCTTGTGATATGTTGTAAAATGTTGTATGTCTGTTAATGTTTCCCTCCTTTTATCCTTAAAATAAAAAAAAAAAAAAAAAAAAAAAAAGTAAAAAAAAAAGAAAACTGAAAATTGAGACAAAAACATGGAAACACATTCCTTACCTGTGACACACTTCTCAGAGGTGCTGTGGGGTCCCTGAAGTGAGATATATAATCACCCTGCCACTAGGAACGGTGAGCTCTGAAGGGAAAAGGATGCATGGGGAGGGATCCAATGTTCTGATGAAGGCATAGCATTGGCCAATATAATGATGGTGGTTATATTTGTGATAAATAATTCTTCTTGCTTTTTCCTCAGACTTCATTGTTCTTCTCTTGCTATGATGGTAATGAAAAAGGGAACATTTTTAAGGTTTTTTAATGTGAGAAACACAATTTTCTTTGAAATCACCCTTGGGATCTCAGCCAACACTGTCTTGTTTCTGTTACACATCCTCACACTTCTCCTCAAGCACAGGCCCAAGCCACTGGACCTCACTATTGCACCCCTGGCCCTGATCCATTTGGAGATGCTGGTAACTATGGGCTTCATAGCTGCAGACATTTTTGAGTTTCAGGGTTGGGGGGATGGCCTTGTGTGTAAATTGGTTATCTACGTGCACAGGTTGATGAGGTCCCTCTCCATCTGTACCACCTGCCTGCTGAGTGTTCTCCAGGCCATCACCCTAAGCCCCAGAAACTCTTGTTTGGAAAAACTTAAATATAAATCCTCACAATACCCATGTTGCTTTGTGTTTCTGTGGATCTTCAATTTGATCCTGAATACTCGTTTCTTAGTCTCCATTGGGGCCACCCCCAATGTAACCTCACACAGTCTCATGTTTGTCACTGAATCCTGCTCTCAGTGGCCTATTAGTTACTTGTTCGGGTACGTATTTTTGTCATTGGTGAGTATTCAGGATATCTCCTCTATAGTGGTGATGGTTCTCTCAAGTGGATACATGGTGAGCCTGTTGTGCAGGCATAAGAGGCAGTTCCAGCAACTTCATAGCACTAATCTTTGTCCAAAAGCATCCCCAGAAGAGGCCACTCGGAGCATCCTGCTGCTAATGGGTTTCTTTATGCTCATGTACTTTTTGGATTGTGTTACTTTCTTAACCCTTGCAATACTGTGGAAAAATGACCCAATTAATATTTGTGTGCAGATGCTTGTGTGTAATTGTTATGCCACAGTCTGTCCTTTTGTGCTAATGAGCACTGAAAAACGGATGATTGTATGTTTAAAATCCACGTGGAAAAGACTGTGAATTTCCCAGTATTTGCATCCTGATGGATAATGTCCAGATAGCTAAATACTTAGAATTTCTCTTGCATCTTTGAAATATATGTAGTTTTATCTTTTCTGTTAGGCAAATTTCCTTTTATGTATTGGGGTTGTAAGTACACCAGGGATAATTTACGAGTGTAACTCTTTGTAGAAATATAGGCTTGTGTTCCAGTGATGTTCATATGTGTTGATGCCGTTATGCAGCACAGGATGTATGTTATAGGCTTGGAACACTAACGCTATAGTGAAAGATCAGAACAGAAGGAAGAAGGAAGAAGGCATTAAACAGAAAATGCTCAAGGACAACAAGCAGAGACATCTTGGTTTTTATGTTTATATGCTATTCCTTTATAATGTTAACTTCATTATAGAGAAACTTTGCAAAATATATCAAAATCAAACAGAATGATATGAACATATATCCTTGATATACATAAAGCTTACCTTCATAACTAATTTACTATTATATCCATAATGCAAAATGTGTTTTTACATATAATTAACCTTTTATGAAATAATGTGGTATTAGTTATGTACATATGAGGTTGGAAAATTCTCCACAAAATTTAGAAATCAGTTAATTTAGGGGCTGGGGATTTAGCTCAGCGGCAAAAGCGCCTGCCTGGCATGCGCAAGGTCGTGAGTTCGGTTCCCGGTACCGGAGAAAAACCAAAAAACCAAAAAAAACAAAACAAAACAAAAAACAAAACAAAACAAAAAATAAAATATTTTTTTAAAAAGCTAGGTATGGTGGTACATGCCTGTAATCCCAGCACTGG